CTTTTAAATATTGGGGCCGTCTTTTCCCTTCCGCTTTTATCCCTCCCTTTCTGTCCGCGAGTCTGCCGAGCCCCCAAGCCCGTGTTCCTTTTTCATCTTCCTGTCCTTCTATTTTAATTTCTCCCACCCGATGTCCCTTTTCGTCAGCTGTAGATTGGACTTTGGCTTCGCCCTCCCTCGGCCTATTCGATCCCTCAAACTGCAAATCTCAAAAGCCCGGTCCAGGATCACGAGGGACCAAGAGGGTTGCAGTCTCTCTTATTTGTTTATATATCTACACATACCCAGACCTCTCTGGGACGTTTCTAGAGCGTTCTGGACAACTTAAAATAACGCGTTCCCCCCTTGTCGGAATGCGAGTTTGGCCTTACAAGCGCCTCTCTAAGTCACGTGTCGGTTCTTAAGATGCCCCTGGGCTCTTTCCTTATTCTTTGCCCCTCCGTGTCCTAACACTTTGAAATGCAATGCCCTAGCTGGCCGACTTGCAAGTAAATCCTGATATTCGATTAGGCTTACTCCAAGAAAAAGTGTGTACAGCCGCCCAGAGTGGCCTGGCTGCCAAAGGATGCGGCGTATAAATCTAATAAATACATACGTCCCAATTACCGCCTGAATATCCTCCCCTCCGCCTCTCCTGGGCCGACCCAAGTAATTTTGCCGACTGAAGCGCAAACGAAACCCTTCTTCGCCAAGTCGTGATAGGTACAGGATCCCAAACCAACAAAGCTATTTCGGCGCCTGAACGTGCAGCGCTTTCACTCCCTTCACGGCTATAATATATGATACCAAAAAAAAAAAAAAAAAAAAGGTAATAATGGAGAGCTAGCGTCGTGTAAGTGGACAGAGCTACGACACAGGAGACCCGAGTTCAAATCCTCGCTGGGCTACAGAAACTCACTGGGAGATATCCCGCATTTCTAGAGCATCCTACCAGGGTCGCCGTAAATCGGAATCGACTTGATGGCAAATCCCATCCCACCACCACCACAACTCGCATTTGTTTCCAGTGATGATGGCCTCTCCCTGCTTCCTGCACGGCCTGCCTCGCTTTGCCCGATGGTAGGGCCGGTATATCTTCCAGGTCCCTTTCCTTTCCTTGGGGCCGCCTCGACGCGTTCATCCCTTCGGATCCGAAGGGAAGGCCGGCCGATTGCTCTCTCTTTACCAATTTAAGCCAGGTGGGCCGACGGCTCACCACCCACCCCCAAAAAACTTGGAAGCCCCTTCTTTCCCCTCTGCCACTTTCGGCCGCTTAGATCAATTACCTGTGCCTTTCTCCCAACCCTGCCCCCCCTCCAGCTCTTTATGACTTGTAGCCGCGTTTCAGACCAAAAGGTTTTTGCTGGGGCCCCAGAAAAGCGACAACAGGACTTCAAGGGAGGCGTGTGTGTGTGTCGGGTTGAGGTGAGAAGTGGCAGAGAGGGGAGAACACGCTTTACTTTTTTTTTTTTTTTTTTTTTTACTTTTTCGCGTGTGGTTGCTTGTGTGTAGGCACACAAACGCCCGCAGATCGCTTCCTCCGGCGAAAACACATTTCCGCATTTAAATCTAGCCAAGACAACACCTTCCCCACTCCACCCCCTCCGTCCCGGACACTCCTATCACGCACCCGCTGTTGGGATCCTTCCCACACTCCGGCCCTCGCTGTTTCTGCTCCGAAAGTTTGATATAAAAAAAGCCACGCGCGATTCCCTCTCCAACGTCAAAATCGGCAGGCAGAAATAACCCACGAGGCTGGGAGCCTCAAGCAACCCTCAACCGACGTCACTTCAATTTGGGGTGTCTTAGTGAGCCCTACACTCTCGCCCCACCGCACTCTTCTGAAAGATTCTCGACCAGACAAAGGCTTAAAGCCAGGGTGGAATTTATAAGTCAGCCATTGTAAAATAAGAATTAAAATAGAATACAACGCAGGATCTTACTAGAAGCGGTAATTTTCCTTACGTTTCGTAGTAGTACTGTACTTGCTCCTTACTTAACCGGGATTAAGCCCCATTAAATTTAGTAGCCAGCCGCCTACTACGAGGCAGTTTCAGAGTAGACGCGTTGACTCAGTGGCATTTACGTAAGTGTTGACTTACCCTTTAGCAGTTGACTCAACGGGTCTACTCTTAGCTGGGACCGGGATGCTGGCTGGGGCGACTCTCTTCTGAGTAGACAGGGATGGGATCAGCACCTTCGTTTCGGGAATTTCTCTAGGAGAAATGTGTAGCTTTAACCCTAAACTTATTTACTTAAATGTCCGGCTGAATTAAATAGCTTTTCCTGTCCAGCGAGGGTGTCTGGCACTGCAGCGACAGAAATTACCCTCTTTAGATTTTCCCCCCTCTTAATTTCAGAGTCTTTTCGTTTGAAGAAACCTTTCCCAAAATTTATATTTAAAACAACACCACAAAAATTAAGTTGCTTCTAACGGTAGCAGATGCGCAGTTGGTGCTGTATACAGAGGGGGACATGCTGTTTTCTCAGCATAACATTGTTTTATTATATTGCATTTCGAATACTTGTTTCACAGCGTTCTTACGCCGGCCTTGTCTTGAGCCATTATTGTTCGAAAAACACACGTAGTTTCTTGCTCTATTTCTTCTTCTTCTTCTTTTTAAATGTTATTTTAACTTTTAACCATGCTCACGTTTGTTTGTTTGCTTTAATTATCGGCCGCCCTATAACTGACCTCATCGTATTTATCCTTGAATTACAATGAAATAACGTTCTTGAAAGCATTCTCTCTTCAGAATAAATAACTGGCATCGTACATGGTGAGGCATCGCGCCTCTGTTCTCCTCGGAGAAGAAGAGGGTTAAGAAGGCAATCCTATGCGGTTCTACCTGTGAGTAAGCTCCACTGAAGCTAAGTGGTGCTTGTTTCCGAGTAAACATGACTGGGGAGGACATTTCCCCATTTTTATGCGTGTAGGCTGCTTCAGTTCTGGGTCTACTCAGGCAAAAGGAGTTGAAGGGAATGATACTTAACTACTGCATAGGAGTGCTATGTGGAAGCCTGATAGGAGTGGCGTTTTAAAAGGGTTATTACATGTGTAAACGGAAAAAAGTAGTCTTTGTATAAAGAGGAAGTCTGGCCATTTCCAGGTCGCTTTTTATTTTATTTTAAAACCTTTCTTTGGTAATAATCTAGGGACTTTTAATATTGGGGCAGTATCCATCGTTTTATGGACAAAAACCAAGGCAATGAACGGTACATGCCTGTCCTTATGAAATACCATAGCAAACCTATTAAAACACAATTTCTGCAAGGCTTACTTGCAAGTAACCCCAACGGGCTTGACTTTCCACAGGAAAGAAGTTGCTATCTTAGACCTTCTTATCTGAGAGTAACAGCCACTGAATTCCACAGAACTTACTCCTTAGTAGATACGTACCTTTAGCATTTCGGTCTTAGCAGCTTTTTGATGATGCTGGTGGGGACTAACAGCTGAAGCCACATACATCTATCTGCATGTAAATGTATCTATATTTTGATATATCAGATTTGAAAATTCGTTTTGAGTTTTAAAGAGTTGAGGTCAGCGTTCTGCCCATCACTTCGTTCAAACGCAGAATTATTAAACCACCCCCTGTAATTTCTGTAAATTAGCCACCACTCATCCTCGGCCTCCTTGTTCTTTGTTTTACAAGGTGAAGGAACGAGACTTCAAAGTAGGAGAAGAGAATGATTTAAAGTGGTGACTGGGTCAGAGAAATTGGGTCAGATTAAAAACGTCCACAAAGATCTATCCCCGGACAAACTTTGGACTTTAGAAAGTTTATTTTGCCTGGAGGGAACGAAGGAACGAACGAACGGTGATTTCTCTCTCTTTTTTAGGTCGCGTCCCTTTCTCCTCTTTAGAGCCAGGCCTCTCCTGGGCACTGATTGACAGGTGACAAAGTAATAACTCCTCCCTCCCGATCGACAGGATAACAAAGGCCCACTGGAGACACCGACTGCTCACCGCCCCCCCCCCGCTACGATCCCTGTCCTTACTTGTTTGTTTGTAAGTTGGTTTGTTTGGGAAACAAAAGCAAAAACCCTCAAGATAACGGAACTCGATGCCATCCTCTCCCAGCGGATGGATCTACCATCGTCTTTTTATTCCTTCCTTCTCGATTCTAGGACCCAAGGCTGCTGAGATAGCCGGGGACCCCCTCTGCCCATCATTGGGGAAACCGTAACCCCACACCCCACACACCCGCGTCAACCTGTGTCGAGGGGTGGCCTGATGGGGCTGACTCGCTGGTGAAATAAACCCACTTTATCCATGCTCAGAAGCACTGTGGTGGGATCCGGAAACTCTCGAATTCGTGCCTTAAAAAGCCGGCTTATGGGGATGGGGAGGGGAGCCTTGGGGAGTATGAACAGAAGCTTTTCCCATTGACCCCTTTCCCATACCGCCATAAAATTTAGTCACAGAGTGGGGGAGCGATTCCTAGGGGAGGCTGTTGGAGGGTTGGGAGCGACCTTGTGGGATCAGCAAATAATCGAAAGTTTAGAACTTGGTAACTTGCCGGCGATGCTCAGGCGAAAGCACGAACAATAAATGTTAATAATAATAACAGTAATCATAATCGTTATGCTCGGTACACAATAGTCATGATCACAATGGCGACAATTCCGAACAGAGAGCCGTGTGGAAGCAGTGTGCTCGGTGAGGTTCACTTCCCAAAGGAAACAGGCAAACAGAAATCCTGGGAGCGAGCGGGTAAGCCGGGATCTTGTGCATAGGATCTCCGGAAAGAAGAGGCAGGCTGCGCGCCCCTTCCTAGGAAGGGCAGCGCAAGCGGGAGCCCTAAAGGGGCGCTTACCGAGGAGTGAAAACCCTCTACTGTACTGTATAGAGAGCATAGCAGGACTCAGCTTCGGAGCAAAGGGACGTGGATCGCGCTTAGGATGTATGCACTGTGTGTGTGTGTGTGTGTGTGTGAGAGAGAGAGAGAGAGAGAGAGAGAGAGAGAGAGAATCGAACGACCAACATAAGGAACAAGTTAAGGAACTTCTCCACTTACCGAAAGAAGTCGTTCTTACAGTACAGCTTCCCTTCTCTGGAGAAACACTTCTCGGTCAGGTTGCATTTACATTCACAGCACTGAACGCATTTAACGTGCCACGCTCGGTCCAAAACGTTCAACAAAAACCGGTCCAGGATGGGTCGCTTGCAGCCAGCACAGTGAACCATGGTCTTTGGCTCGGGTTTGGGTCCGTGGCTGTTTGGGACGGGGCGGGAGGCTGACAGAAGGCGGCGACTGGCTTTCCCAGAGATCACAGCAGGAAAAGAGAGAGAGAGAGGAAGAAGAAGAAGAAGAAGAAGAAGAAGAAGAAGAAGAAGAAGAAGAAGAAGAAGAAGAAGAAGAAGAAGAAGAAGAAGAAGAAGAAGAAGAAGAAGAAGAAGAACGGGGAGGGGAAATGAAAACCAACACACTAACACACACACATGCACGGGATGAAGGTGGAGAAAAGAGCACCCCCGTCTGCCTGCGGGGGGGGGGCGTACGCCTTCCGGTTGGAACAAACTAGCCGAAAAAGTTGGAGCCTTCTTGAGAAGGTCTTGGAAAGACGGACAAACTCAGACGTCCAAATTCTTCTTTTTGATTCTTCCGAAAGGTGTAAAACAAAAACCGACGACTCCCCCAGGGTCCAGAGCAGGCCAACGTGGTGACACAGGAGCCAAAGGCAAGCTACTGCGATGAAGGGTTTCAGTGCCTTGTATTCTTCGGCCTTGAGGATGATGCCAAAAGAGAGAGACAGAGAGAGAGAGAGAGACAGGCAGACAGACGTCTTTTCCAAGACACTGGGTTCTCCTTATAATTTAGTTGAAAGCAATAACGCAACCCTAGTGAGGAGCTGTCAAATGTCCTGAAAGACGTGGGAGCCTTTTTAAAAAAAACAGCCGGGCGAGGAATCCTCTCGGGTTTGAGGTAGAACAGTCAGAGGTCAAAGTGCAGTTAAAAATAAAAAATAAAAAAAATAATTCCCCTCTCTGCGTCTGAAATTAATGACACTAAATCAAAGGTTCGCAGTGGGTGGGTGTCTTGTGTGTCCAGACAGAAGAAGTATTTGGGGCGGGCAACCGTGCCTTCTGGTTTCAAACCGCAGAACGAGGGGCTGAGTTGGGGGAAGATGGTGTGAGGAGCAAACAGCGGGAGATGCCTGTTATATAAATAGAAAGGTCTTCATATCAGAAATCAGGGTGGTAGAGGTGGGGGGAGAAAGCCACCTCTCTCTCTCTTTCTCTCTCTCTCTCCCCTCTCCAGTCTCTTCGTGTGAGGTGGACACCAATAATAAGAGGAAGAATAAAAAGTCTTATCCTAAGAGATGCCAAATCGAAGCTGTTCCGTGCCCTCTTCCCCCTCGTATATTTTGTTTAAAAAGATCCTCTCCAGCCGGCGGGTGGAGGGGAGAGAAAAGATCGAGAACAACAACAAAAAAAGAGGAGAAGTTACCTACCCCTACTGGAGCATGAGTCCCAGAGTCAAAAACTCCCTCGCCTGGTCCATTTGGACGTGTGGGGAGCTGTCTGGCTTTGTTTAGTCTTCCTGGGTTGGTAATGACATCAAGTTGAGAAGGGTTGGGGGGGTGGGGGAGGGAGAAGAGAAGGAGGAGGAGAGGAACCCTATCCCCCCCCTTTCCCCCCTTTTCCTATGAAAGCTTTAAGTTCGGTTCTTCCTTGTTGCCTTGCTGAGGCTCTTCGAGGCGAAGCGACGCGGCTTGGGAGACAGGATCTGGCCCCTTGGCCCAACCATAGAGACCTGGGTGTCTGTTGTTATTCTGGAAACGGCAACCCCCTCCTCTCTTTCTCTCTTCCTTCTTTCCTTTCTCTCTCTCTCTCTCTCGCCTTCTGGATGCCTCTCTCTTTCTCTCTCTCTCTGCCTCGTTCCCAAGCTTCTGCCGGCCTCTCTATAGACTGCATGTTCGCAGCTGTCTACACTCCAAAGCCTTATGCAGTGACCTCCGACGTCACAGCCCCCGCCAGCCAATCAGCGCCCCCGGTTCCCCCCCCTCCATCCCTGTCTTGCAACACATCAGAGCATCCTTCTCTAAGCCCGGGATGGTACAGCGAGAGCTTTTTATAGGGGGAAAATAAGAGGAAGCGACCCATTCGCGGTACGTTTTTGGCAGACTTCCCCCCCCCCAACATTACACCCTCCATTTGTATTATTAGCAGGATTTGGAGGGTCCGACGAGGAATGTGTTGTTTTGATGTGCCTGCCTCTTTAATTCCTCCCCCCCCTCCAAGTTTATTTGGTGGAGATGGGACTGTGGGGCAACTTTAAAGGGAGTTAAGCTGAGGAAAGGAGGTGTCAAAACTGACACCCCTCCGAAAGGGATCAAAACCGGTAGGTTATTATTGTTATTTTTTTTCCCGAGGAAGGCTAAAACAATTCATTTCACTTACTTAGCTCCTCGGTTAATGTATTGCATTTCTTTATCTATGGAGGTTTTTTTTTGAAGGGGCAGAGGGAGAAAGGAAGAAATAAACTGTTCTGAATGCTGGTGAGTTTGTGTTTTCACCCCCTTTTTGAAATATATGCGTATAGATAAGCAGACCGTGTTAAGTAAAAGTGGCAAGGATTTCTAAGAAGGATGAGAATTATTGTTAGATTTAAAGCAGATGGGGTGAGGGCGGTAACAGAGACAACCCGTTTCGTGGGCTAGGTAGACTGCGTCTAAGAAATATTCCGGAAAAGTTGTGGGTTTTTTGGGGGGGGGAGGTGGAGGTGGGATCTACCCTGGTCTGGGGTGTAACATAAATGTTTGTTTATAAAGGAGAATGGCGCCTCAGCGCAAAGGTCTCTCTCTCTCTCTCTCTCTGTGTGAGTGATATCGTGACATGTACGTCCTGATGATTAAAATGTTGATCCTGAATATGTTTGCCTGGAAAGAAGCGCCCCCGCTGTTGTCTGGAGCGGATGAGGGAGGCTCTCCGAGCGCTCACTGGGCGAGCGGTGTTACTGCAGGCCACCGGACTCGGAATGCCTTCTTCTCCCCCACTTACCCGAGATTGGGCCTTGTTGGACTCTATAGGACTTACTTTTAAGCAGACATAGGACTGCGCCATAAACTGACTGATATGCCAGTCGGAAGGTTTATTAGGCCGGGAGAGCAAAATCCCTTTGTTTTTATTTGACTTTATGGTTGAATCCGTCTTTATCACGTTTTATGTTCGTAAGCCGCCTTGAGCGCTACCTAGTACAGTACTGTATTGGAAAGGTGACGCGCTAAGGGAATGGGGGGTGGGGGAGAGGAAAGTTTGAACAGACAACTTTCCAGGAGAGATCGGTGGTACAGATCCGGTGGTTTCTACATCTGTCAAATTTTTAAACACCTGCTCCCGTTTGTTTAATGGCGCTCGCGTGTGTTGTATATGCCTTGTTGGAAAAAAAATCCGTATGATATGGAGGGAGAACCTGCAATGGAAGAGGAGTTCTAGGAATATAAACTCTTGAACTCAATTAGGCTTGGATTGGTTGTAATCTTGTCACAGCTATATCTCCTTCCCTGGGAGTAACTGAACACGGTAGGACGCCATAAATAGATGGTTGATAAATAGATTTGTGGGTCAGATTTACGGTATATACAAATACACAGGCCATACATACACAAACATGCGCTTCCCTTTTTTCCTCCTCCCTGGTTCGTTCCATTTACTTCAGATCAGAATCTGTGTGTACATCTAATATTCTGAGGCTGGACTTTGGAGATTGACGGAGGACTTGATAATAAAGAGACAAGGAAGTGTTTTACAATCGCTTCATCTAGACAGCACTTGTTGATGGGGGGGCTTACCCCCTTTATCAGCCCCCACCTCCTCACCAAAGAGTAGGTTTTAAAAGAATCCCAAATTCCTTTACCCAACAGAAGCGTGAACCGCTTAGAAACTTTCCTGTCTCTTGGACAGACATCTAAGTTTGAGAAAAACATCTGTTTTTTTGAAAAAAGAAGTCTAGCTTTAAATACCACCTCTAGTTCCTCTTTGGCTCAAACAACATCAAGATGAGCGCAGCTTAAGTACTTCGCATGTACCGGAGATTTTAACCCTCTTCTCCTCTTCCATTTGATCCTTAGAATTATTATTATTATAACAAAATATTATTATGTAAGGATATAGCATGTAGCAATAAGACGTACAATTAATTCATTAATTAATTTGTAATTTCTCCCATCTCCATTGACAATGAAAACAATAACTAAACAACACAATAGAACGACATTTAAAACTAATGATGATGATAATGCTGTATGGTGTTTATTTCAGGTTTCTTTTTATGGGGTGGATGCCTTCAAATATTTTCTTCCGCTTTATACCTCTTGTTTTAAACTGGTATCTCTAAACGTATTTTGGGAAATCAAGATATCTCGAAAACGTTCAGTGAACAAAAGTTTAAATATATTAAATAGACTGCTTGATTTCTAATTATACTTTGATGTGTTGTGAACGGTCCAGAGAGTGTTTGTGCTAATGAGGTGGTATAGAAGTTGAAATAATAAATAAACTATAAATAATATTCGTGTCCAAGTGCTTGCCCTGGGTGTAAATCGCTCTGAGCTGGGAGGTATATTCTAAATTCTGTCAAAAGGAATGGCTTATGTTTCTCTGTTAAGTTGTTTACGATCTATCTGGTCGCCAGTTTTCCTATCAAAACAAATGAACAAACAGGCCAAGCCTCTGCTTGAGTGTCTCTCCTACAAGAAGAAGTTGGTGTTTTGTTTGTTTTTAAAGTAGGAATGGTCGAAAGAAAGTTAAAACGAGATGTTTCTATGGTTCGAATTGATACATGAAAACTAGCTTGGCTCGTCGGCTTGCTTCCCCTCTTCCATTTCCCACCCTTTTTAGAAGCCCGGGAACACCTCGAGAGTTTGTAGAATGTTTCTATCTTAGCCCAAAATTCACTAAAAGGGATTAATTCTCTCCTACAGTCTTCGAGGGACAAGCCGGACCTTTCCTAACCCGTTCTAGCGAGATTCACAAGCCCGCAGCAAAGTCTTACAGATTCAAATTCTAAACTCATATTCAGGGAGTAAGACATGCAGATTTCTCAGGAGAAGACGTTTCTTTCCAAACGTGGACTCTGAAATAACAAATAACCGCCGGAACATGCAAACCAATCAAGACGATTTTGCTTTTTCATGGAATGGGGTTAGTTGCGAGCGTTTCCATTCAAATCCATAGACCCTGTTTGCAAAAACATATTTTTAAGGAGAGAGAGAGGCTATGAGAAGAGGTTTGGATGCCCACGAATTTAGCCCCGGCCTTGGGAGGTGGTGCGAGATCGAGGTGCTAAGGCCATGATCCCCAGCAGATCAACAGCCCCAATCTGTGCGTGTTTACTCAGGAGGATCCGCAGCCTGCATAGGCTATAAAGCTATGGCTTTACGAGGAGAGTCGCTTTCACGGAATTGAGTACAGCCTCCTTCCGGGTAAACACGGCTAAGAGGCTTAATTTATACGAAGTCTTCCAACAGGGAGGGGTCAGAAAGGACTTTGCATTGACAAATTCCGACGTAACTTGTGTATTGCGTGTTTCTGGCTTAGGCTCCCGCTTGTCTGTTTGCTGAGTCGTGGCTTCCCTCTCTTTAGGCAGTAAAATTTGGAAGAAATAAGGAGACGAAGTCTGTGCTCGTATTATGGGGAGGGAGAGGCGGGGGAGTAGCCGCGGGCTCTGAATTATTTCTAAAGCCCCCGCCCATGGACCCCTCCAAACTCAGGGACCCCAAATCTCCCCGTAGAGGCTTCTCAAACCAGTTAGTTAGGAGGGCTCTCAAAAGGGGAGCTTCAGTTTAAACAACGGGTAAGGGAAAGAAAAATGGGGGAAGGAAGGAAGGAAGGAAGGGCATAAAAGGAGAAAAAACTCAGCAGGTAAACAAGCAAGACCGAGGAAAGAAAAAGGGGAGAGATAAAGAATGGGGAAAAGGGAAAGAGAGACGAAAGGAAGAGAAGAGAGAAGGAAAAAGGAAACCAGAAGAAAAACGAAGGCATTAAGGTAGCAAGATGGAGAAAAAGGCGAGGGGAAGGGAGGAAGAAGGGAGATCCAGGACTGCCCGGCCTTTCCCAGGCATTCCGCCCTCCCCTTGGGCCGCGGAGGCCCCCGCCGCCGCCTGCTCCGTTCCTCCCTCCTCCTTTTCTTCCTCCTCCTCTTCCTCCTCCTCCTCCTGCTGTGCAACCGCTCGGGCTGCAGACGGCTTCCAGCCCTCGCTCCGGGCCCTCCCAGGCGACAGCTGCCCCGGCGATGCCCAGGGAGTCGTTCGCCTTTGACTCCGGGTCCCCAAGGGGACAAGGGCTGACCAGGGGGGTGGATGGGTGGGTGGGGGAAGATCAGGGCGCGGGGGATGATGAGCCTCGGAGGCCCATCGACGC